GAGATATCATTTCAAAATGTACATAACTTGTCGAATGAAATAAATCAGACATCTCATACTAGGGATGTTGACAGGACTGTGATGAAACTTACGGACATTATTGGTAAGGCGGCTTACTCGTCTCTGGAAATATAATCAAACTCTTTCAAGCATATATATAATATTAAGTGGTGGAATGGGAATCTTGAAAAAATGAAAAATGATTTTCATTATATTAGAAACGTATACTATCGGCATAGAGTTATCAATAAAATAACTTTTAAATTTGCTAGAAACAAGTACATTAACGTTATCGAAAGAGCTAAGAAAAAAAGTTGGAGAATATTCATTGAAGAAAATGAATCAAACAACCCATTTGGAAAGGCCTATAAAATTTTTAAATCTCTGAGATCATCCAACAACAATAAAGGGCTTCCTATGATCGATAATATACCGGATACTTTAAAAAAATAAAAATGAAAAGTCTCTTGAATGATTTATTTCCAGATGATGATGTACATTCAGATAAAGAGGAACATGTTATTATTAGAAACTATAAACCTGAATATAAAAACCAAAATAACATTTTCATATAAATAAAATATGTTGAAAATATTATTTCCAAATTATAAATATCAAGAAAGCACCAGGTCCAGATTTTATCAGTAATAATATGATCAAACAGGCAGGTACACTTTTAATCCCGATTTTACAACAATTATTCAACAAATGTATTAAATTAGGTTATTGTATCCGGATATATGGAAAGACTCTACTGTAAAGATCATTCCAAAACCTAATAAAATAAACTATGAAACAAGCAAAAGCTATAGACCAATATCATTGACGTCAAACAATTCTAAAATATTTTAAAACATAATTAAAAACAAAATCAATAAATATTATGAAGAGAACAATTTAATGAGTCCAAGGCAACACGGATTTACTAAACATAAATCAACGAACAGTGCAATGGAAGATATAATGGAAACCATACAGAAACACAGGCAAGAATAACTAACATCTTTGATTACAGTGGATATAGCAGGCGCATTTGACAACGCATGGTGGCCAGCAATTATTAGAAGACTCGATTTAGATAACATTTCCTTCAAATTAATATAAGAATTATACAATCTTATTTAAGTAGTGGAAGAAGGGCAAATTTCTCATATGAAGACACAAATGTTACAAGAAAATTGACAAAAGGATGCCCTCAAGCGGTCCTCTATCCCCAATATTATGGAATATTTTGTTAAACGACTTGCTGAAGAGCTTCAAACATCCGAATGTAGAAATAACCTGCTACGCAGACGACGCTTCTATCATTTGTTGGAGCAAGTATGTCGAGGATCTCAAAATATTAAGCGAAAATATTCTATGCTATGTGATTCAATGGTGTAATAGGAATAAATTATCAATAAGCCCAGAGAAAACGAATTTACTTTGCTTACATAATAAACCTAAAGTTCCAATTGAAATATCGAATATTATTTTAAACCCAGTAGATCAAGTTAAGATATTAGGCATAAAATTCTCAAATCATAGAATAAAAAAGAAGATAAATTTTCTCCCACATATCAACGACATTTTGTGCAGGATCGTAAGAATGAAAAATTTTCTGTTGTCACTTTGTGGAAAAATGTGGGGAATAAATACTAAAAAAAGAATAATTTTGTATAAAACAATTATCAGGCCAGTTTTTACATATGGTTCAGAAATATGGTACAAATTTATAAATAGTCGATGCAAAGAAAAACTGAACTCTATTCAATATCAAATTCTCCTTTGGGCGGTTGGAGCCTACAAGACTACATCTTCCAACTGTGTCCATAGTCTTGCGAACATCCCCCTTCTCACAGATTATATTGAATCTAAAATAAATATGATTTGGCTCATCTTTCGATAGAGGATGAAAATGCTTTTAGATCACATTCTCCGAGTATAATTGGTTCATTTTTAAATGCAAAAATGGATTAATTATTTTTAAAAACAAATGAAACATTCCAAAGCTTTTTCCGTTTGGAATTCCATCATTTTTCCGTTCGAATTTTTATAATGCCCAGTTTACAACGAACCATGCAAATTATAAGGGATTTTTATCAAAATTTGGAGTGGTTGAGGACTCTAGCTGTCACTGTGGTAACAAATTCCAGGACTCGAGACACCTACTGTTGGAATGCCCACTCTTCTTTACCTCTAGACAACAGACAATAAACAATGTTGTAGATCTATATCAATTTGTAAATAGGAAAGAGAAATATCATAGATTTAACTATCTTTGTATATATATATTTATGATTTTCTTTCAAACCTGAAAGGTTCAGGTTTCTAATGTATATTATTGATTCTCTTTTTATTTTTAATTACTTTTTATTGTATGGTGTGTTTATAACTGATTCTGTTTGAAAAAAAAAGTAAATCGACGCAATTATCTCTAGCCGGGATATCGCTTTTTGTGTGTTGAAATAAAATAAAAAATATATAAAACTATTAAGGCTAAGAATATTAAAGCATATATAAAATATGCCTGCATTCATATTAGGATAATAAACTACCTCGATGGGTAATGCAATATATTACAAAAAAGGCATAAGACGCCGCAACTCAGCATGCTGAGGAAGGGCTTGCCTGAAATCTACTTTCCCCAAGAAAATAAAAAGAGTTGACGACGTTTTTTTTGCCTTTTTTTGTAATTTGCATAAATCCGCAAAACTGTGATAAGAAATGAAATATATTTTCTAAGCGCCATTAAAACGAAATATTCTAAAAATGTTTTCAACCCTTCTATGAAATTCGAAACTTTTACTTTACATTTTAAAATGCAACAACTATTGCTCTCTGTACATCAGATTGAGAGAATTTTTGGAATGGTTCTACCACTAATGACCGAGACTCTTTGAATATTCAGAGAGTTACTTGGTGGCTTCTCGCATAAACAATTCTTTGTATTAAAAGATAAAGATTTCAAAGATTTGTTGGGAGAATGATTTTAACTTATAGTAGATTCTAGTGTATTGAGTATATTTTCATTGATACTATATGTATATATATAACATTAAGATGCAGGAAAATGATGTTTCATGCACTATGCACGAATATAAAAATAGTTGACAATGTTTCAGAGAATAGAATTCACAATTTTATACATGAATATATCAAACTAGCCGAATGACCCGGGCAACGCCCGGGTTTTACCCGATTAAATGCTTTTATTCAAATACTATTCGTTACAATTATAAATTGGCGCCGTGGATGTCATTCTTGTGAAACGTCCCGCTCCAAACTTTGTGTTTGAGAAGCGATATTTTTATAAAGAGATGATCTGGCTTTGTGTCTTCTGCTCGAATGAATGTTTTCCTGTTAGAATTTTGTTCCTGCATACTAAAAATGAACTGGCTTCACCCGTGGTCTCTGCTTTTTGGAATTTTTCCGGATATAATTTTGTATCTGATAATCAAATATGATACAGCAATATTGTCATAATCATTTTCTGACTAAAAAAAAAAAACAACTATTTTTGCCCAGAACCTGTCAATTTCAATTTTTCTTGGCTAAAAATGCGACAAATATCTCTTCCATATTTTTTTCTATGTCCTGTTAAAACACGTTTTACATGTACATTAGGTCAGCTGATATTACCTCCCATCTTCACCGCTAGAGGCGCTGCTTGCGAGCGAAAGAGCAAATTTACAACTCAAATTTGCAAATAACTCGAAGAATATTCGGGATAGAGACCTGAAATATTCAATATAAGTTTTTCCAGATTATACTATACATACTGCTAAAATTTCAGTCATATTAGTTACGCATTTTACGTATATTACGTAAAAGCATTCCATTCACTAAAGCAAACGGTGACAGAATTGATTGATGACGCTGATAAATAAAATATTAGATATTGACCACACAAATGACCCGGCTGTCCCCAAATACTGACAGGATGGATATTGGCCCAATAAATATTGTCTGAACCAATGTTGATTATGATGTATTAGGATTATGTTATCACACATTATTCTTAATAGTAATCATGATGAGAGAGAGAACTTTACATAACTCTCTAAATTATCATCATCATAATCATTTTTTAAAATTACATCATTCAAAGTCTTGTGTGTTATATTGTGAAAATATGCACAATGAACTAAATAGCTACATAATCAACCCACGTTTTAATTTACATGTATATAAGGTTGCCCCAAAAGTTCGTGTTTCAATTAAAACGTTGTTTTTCTTATTACTTGGCGAATAATATTATTACGGCGAATACATAATACAATTACGTTATAGATAATACAAACACATTATATACATAATGGCGAATAATATTGGTATTTAATTTTTTGCAAGTGTTTACGAACTTTTGGGACAACCTTGTAGTAGTATTTCCAATGATGATCGTAATTTACTAAAATATTTATCATCATTTTTAGGATCAAAATACGTGATTTTCTCCCTTGTTAAAATAATCTCCATATGTTAGAGCCGGGGGAATTTGATAGTTATTTTTTACAGACTGGACTTTATATCTCTGTAAAGAATTTTTTTTCAGTTAGGTCAAATATTAGCATTTTTCAAAGGATCAAATAAATAAACTCAATTTACATTTTTAAATGTCATCTATCGATTATTTACAATTATTTTGGCATTTCCTAAAATATATATATGTCTATTAAAAACAAAATTGGCATTTCCTGACCGCCCAAATGATCAATGCCAATTTTATTTTTTTAATATCAAACCTGCTCATTTTTCTATTTTCTTTCCTTATTTTTCACATATATGTACATATCTCTCTATATATAAAAGTCAATGTCTGTCTGTTTCGCGATAAACTCAAAAACTACTGAACCAATTGGTACCAAATTTTGCATGTCGCTTTTTATAAACCTGAGGAAAATTTTCGGCTGCATTTTGATTAGTATTTTTGGCTATTTCTTTTTTTCATTTGAAGAACTTTTTTTTTACGCGGACTAATCCGGAATGGAATGAATACCTAAATATGGCCTTTTTTAAAAGCATCGGTGGTTCAGTGGTAGAATGCTCGCCTGCCACGCGGGCGGCCCGGGTTCGATTCCCTAATGACTGGTGAGTCACACACACTTTTTTCCTGTAGTTTATGTGTTACTTCTGTATTGCTATTCTATGGCACTTCTAATATTTATTATTGATATACTTTTAGTATGAAGGAAATTGCACCCAAGGGATTTCTCGGGCGAAGCCGGGTCATTCGCCTAGTCTCTCTATATATAAAAGTCAATGTCTGTCTGTTTCGCGATAAACTCAAAAACTACTGAACCAATTGGTACCAAATTTTTAATGTCGCTTTTTATAAACCTGAGGAAAATATTCGGCTACATTTTGATTAGTATTTTTGGCTATTTCTTTTTTTCATTTGAAGAACCTTTTTTTTACGCGGATTAAATACGAGGCGAAGTAACAACACGAGGCCAATTAAGCGACCACTGAGCGTTCTGCATTTCTTTTTAAGTTGCTTGCGTACCTTTTTTTAAATATCTTTTTATACGAGTGTCACTTTTTTTTACAAAAGTATTGAGAGAGAAATTTCTATTACTAAGTTATGGTAAATGCACACAATGCAATTTAAAAAAAACTTTACAATATTAGCGTTACTGTATGTAAACAATGGCTTTCGTATTTTTGATTAATTTTTGTTCTGGCCTTTGTTTTTTTTTTATATAATCTAATATATAAAAGTCATTGTCGTCTGTTTCGCGATAAACTCAAAAACTACTGAACCAATTTATGCCAAATTTTGCATGTCGCTTTTTATAAACACGAGGAAAATTTTCGGATGCATTTTGATTAGTATTTTCGACTATTTATTTTTTTCATGTGAATAATTTTTTTTACGCGGAGGAAATACGAGGCGAAGTAACAACACCAGGCTAATTAAGAGACCAATGAGCGTTCTGCATTTCTTTTTTCAAGTTGCTTGCGTACCTTTTTTTAAATATATTTTTATACAAGTGTTACTTTTTTCACAAAAGTATTGAGTATTGAGAGAGAAATTTATATTGCTAAGTTTACGGTAAGTGCACCTAATGCAATTTAAAAAAATAAACTTTACAAAATTAACGTTACTGTATGTAAATAATTGCTTTCATATATTTTATTAATTTTGTTTTGCCTTTTTTTAATGCTTTTTAAAAAAATAGTTCAAAATGCAGTCGCAGTCATCAACACATATGTTTGCCTAATTTCCATGTGCTCTTTTATTTTTTACAGAAAAATATTCACATTCCAGTATTTTGGATTAATATTTTTATAAACCTATTTTTTTCTTATTCTTACTGAGAAGATGGGCATCTCAGTCGAGATCCATCGCAGTCACTCACTCAACTCGGGCAATTTCAAGGGTTAATGCGCTGGGGCCGGTAACTCGGGGGTTGGGTGGAAAAGCTGCTATCTATTTAAACTATATTGATTTTGAAACAAATAAATGGATTGCAGAAAAATAATTAAATCAAATATCTAAACACAAATATAATACCATTTTTGCAATCACACACGCTTTTTTCCTGTGGTTTATGTGTTAGTTCTGTATTGCTATTCAATGGCACTTCTACTATTTATTATTGATATACTTTCATTATGAAGGAAATTTCACTCAAGGGATTTCTCGGGCGAAGCCGGGTCATTCGCCTAGTATATATATAAAGAGACAATTTAGATCAATTTCCTCCGGCAAAATTCCATTCATATATATATATATATATATAATTTCATAATATTTTATTCAATTCAATATATGCCTTTTTACTATTTAATATATATATATATATACTTTTTTGAAACAAAAAAAGGTATATTCTCACCGCTCACATGAGCGCCAATATATATATATATATATATATTCATATAGATGCAATGATAGAATATCTATATATATATGAATGAATGTTTGTTGGTTTGTATGACCTGCATACAAATTCACAGTAGTTCACTAATTCAAACCACAATTTCCATACATAGGTAAAAAATAACGGGGATGACGATAGGCCATTTAAAATATATATGAATCAATTATTAAAACTATATATTCAAATTATTCTACTTAGCTCACGAGCAGCGCCCTCTAGAACGCGGGCGATCTGCCGGCGGCGCGCGCCCGTTGGCTGCCGGCGAGCACGTGACTTCCCTGTGCGCCGCCGGCGAGCACGTGACTTCCCTGTGCGCGCGCATGGCTGTCGGCGACCGCCCGCCAGCGAGAGAAGCTTTTTCTTAATTACAATGCAAGTCCTTAACTATATTTACAGGTTTTCTATTTTACAACTATTTCACATATTTACATATATGTTTTCATTTTTTGCTATAACTGATCTAATTCGCCGTTTAAAATAACTGCTCTTGCAATATTCGCTATGTTTTATTTTGCTATGTTTTATGTGTTTGAATAAAACATTTAATCGTGTAAACCCGGGCGTTGCCTGGGTCATTCGTCTAGTATCAGATAAGAGGGTTTGGCTCATCTGCTTTTAACCCACTGAGCGTTATTTGGCCAAATTAATCTTAAGACCGTTCAAGTATTTTTTGCATTGTTATTCTTTTATATGTACACTAGATATTTAGTAGAGAAGGGCATCTTAGTGGTGTTCAGGAAACCTATGGATATAAGCTCATAGATCTGTGGGGGCATACGTATAAATACAAGAAAATGAATCGAGCAGTATACATTTAATAACAAACATAAATTTAGAATATAAATGCAAAATCTTTCACACACTCATATTTATTTATAATTATATACAGATTTAATATATATTTCAACATAATATTCCGTTATATTTAATATTTCTAAAGGATATAAAAATTGCCATTTTTCACACAGGAAATATTTCAATTATAATGATATTTCAAAAAGATAAGATCTTTTGCAAAGAAAATCATTTTTTTTCTTTGTTGCCAATTATCGAATGAATAAAATACTTTTTATATAAATAGATGAAATATTTAAAGTAAAAAGATTCATAGAGAGAGAGAGATACCCTTTATGCAAGAATAAAAATATTGACGTTATAGAATATTAAAAAGCGCCTATATATGCTTTTCAAGTAGAAGATGGGCGCATATAACCTTTTGTATAGAAACTAAGTAACCTTTTGAAATGTATGAATATATTTTTCAGATTATATATAAAGCATATTCAATATTTTATTGAGCAGAAAAAGTAATTCCATAATGGAAGTGTATTTTTATCCTTATTTGGTATCAAATTATGTGTATTATATTACCTTCATATCATATTTAGATTGAAATAGTGTGAAGCATTAACATATAAAAAAACTCTATACTTTCTAATTAGATGCAAATTGCTTGGGACGATGATAATAAGAAGGGTTTTTAATGAATTAAGAGACACTACAAATATCTTTCTTTAAATTATAGTTTACGAGGGGTGTTCAAATAGTATCGCGACTTTTGTGTTTTTTCAAAAATTATTTATTTATTCATGAATGCCTATTTTGTCCCCTTCAAAGTAATCCTCATGAGATATTATACACTTGTGCCAACGGGTTTTCCAATCTTCGAAGCACTTCAAAAAATCATTTTTTTAAATATCTTTTTCAGCTCCTCCTTCGATGCCGTCTTTATCTCGTCAAGCGTAGCGTAACGTCGTCCTTTCATGGGCCTCTTCAGTTTAGGGAACAAGAAAAAGTCACAGGGGTCCAGATCTGGGGAATACGGTGGCTGCGGCATCATTAGTGTATTTTTTTGGTCAAAAAGTCGCGCACAAGCAACGATGTGTGAGCAGGGGCGTTATCGTGGTGCAAAAGCCAATTTTTGTTCTTCCCCAAATCCGGGCGCATAACTTGCAGGTAATATTCCTTATTGACCGTTCTACCTTGTGGCAAGAACTCATGATGCACCACGCCCCTGCAATCGAAGAAAACTGTCAGCAAAACTTTCACATTCGACCGAACTTGGCGCGCTTTTTTCGATCTTGGTTCGTGCGGCAGCTTCCATTGAGATGATTGAGCTTTGGTTTCCACGTCATAACCATAAACCCACGCTTCCTCACCAGTTATGACCCTCTGGAGAAAATTTGGGTCGTCGCGGACAGAGTCCAACATCTCATTAGCAATGTTCATGCGAAGCTGTTTTTGGTCGCAATTGAGCAATTTTGGTACGAATTTCGGCGACCCGTCTCATGCCCAAATCATTGATAAAAATCGAATGGCACGAGCCAATCGATATGTTTAGGTTCTCAGCAACTTCTCTAACGGTGATTCGACGATTGGCCAATATCATTTTCTCCACTTCATTAATTTTTTCGTCTGTTGTTGAAGTGCTCGGGCGTCCGGCACGCTCTTCGTCGTTCACATCTTCTCGGCCTTCTGAGAACATTTTGTACCACCGATAAACGTTGCTTCGGTCCAAGGTAGCTTCTCCGCATGCCACAGTCAACATTCGGAATGCATCCGCGCACTTAATTTCGTTTTTCACACAAAATATGATACAGGTTCTTTGGTCCATTGTTTTTAATAGGTAAAAATCGAAGACGATCCAAAACACCTGCAAGCAAAGCAGCTGTCAACAATTAAGTGAACATTCAAAATAGCCGAGCTTGTCGGCATAAGTGAGAGACATGAGTACCAACATAAAGCCACAAAAAGATCGAAATTCGAATATACGTAACCCGCGAAAATTCAAAATTCGCGATACTTTTTGAACACACCTCTATAGAAAGGATATGATTTAAAAATTAGGAAAAAGGTGTCTTGGATCTTTTTAAAAGGATAAAAGCTCCTTTAACATTGTTTTCTCTAAATTTATTTGTTATTCCGTCTCGAAAATATATGTCTTGATAATTTCAATTTAATAACATTTTTTTTTGGTATTTCATACCAAAACTTAATACTACAAAAACACACACTAGGCATTGAATATTTCTCCTAATTTATATTACTTTTTATTTGGTTTGTGTGTGTGTGAGGGAGGGAGAGAGATTGAGATTGAAACTGATTTATTATAACGTCCATATAAGATTATATAAGGTTAAATAAACAAAATGAATAAATAAGATTAACAATGATAGATATATGAATAAATATATTAAAATAATTGAAAAAAA